TCATCGTTACAAGCATACTGGTTGCTAGTCTACCATAAATCCTAAGAATAATTTAAATAATAATACAACTTTTATGCTCACAATTATAGCTAGATTCCGAACAGAGATACACAACTATAGAATCAATCTCTAGGTAGCGAATAATGAATCTAATCCAATGAATGCATTAAAGACACTTAAAATGTAAGCTGCATTCTATAAATGATGATAAGTAATAAATCACATACTTTAACGGTACAGCGACCAATCAGATTGCATGAAGTCGTCACCTATTTTAAGTCGACATTTTAAACTTACGTAAAATACGTCAGAAAATAAAGAAAAACAGAAAAAGTTAAATACGGACCAAAATGATTGACTGTTTAACAAGTATAGCTAGGTACTTAAAAAAATGTACCTAATAGCATTTTCTATGATTTTGTGCATGGTCATCATTTCACGTGAGTTTCTTCAGCTTTCGATTTTCCCATTGTTAATGAATTACACTGTATAGATTTAAATATGTCTTTCTTAACTAACGTTTTATTTTATGGCAATGCAACTTTTAGGTGAGGATATTGTTCATTTTAGCAGTTTCAAAACTAAAATCACGGTTGACTATAATTTAACTTCAAGATTCGTGTATTCATAAAAAAAACTTATTAAACTGATTAAAAAATAGAAAATTATATGCACTAACACCACAGCACACATAAACCAACAATTTCACTAAATTGTTAGCACTTTGATCTCATTCAGCTGTTTATGGTGTCAGATCTGTACAAAAGAATCTTTTATTTGTTCAGGAAAATATATAGGGTGTTCCTAAATAAGTGTCGCAACGGAAAACTGTAAATCCCGCTTGAAAAAAGAAACATTCTTTTCCTCTTCTATTTTTCTCTCCAGGCTTTCATTTTCGAGATACACGGTGTCAAAACTTCAATTTTTTAAAAATTTTTTGCCAATATCTTAGGAACCGTTTGAATTACAGGACTGAGTTTTTGTACACGCATTACCACTATTAATAGCTACTTTTTCACACTTTTCTCGAATTCATTGAACGTGCCAGTGGTGGAGATTTTAAGGTATCGTAAGGGTTTTCCCCCCC